CAGATCACAGGGGGCCTTAGAGATCATGTTAAGAAGTTGTAGGATTGTATCTAAAAGGTAAAATACCAGTTCCTGGAATGCTGATCAAGAAGAGATGTGTGGCGAGCCAGAGAACATTCATTTTACCCCTAAAACCACACAAGACTTACTCACCAAACGCCCCCTTGATGGGATCCTTATCCAGCTCTCAAGTCCTACCCCACTCACAGCTTTGGGCAGATGTGCCAGAAAACGTAGATGGAAAATTTTTCAGGAAGCCAACGCCCTAAGGAGGACCATGAGGAACTCTTCAGAAGCTAAATTCAAATACAGCCTGAGACGTCACAGGTGCAAGGGCCTTGCAACCAAATTCCCATTCTATGGATAGTTAGGAAATATAAATTCACAAGTGAACCTGACACCGATGCAGACAAAATAAAGAAAACTTGGTAAGCTTCCATTTCCTTAGAGAACCCCATGATCCCACCACCTCTTCTCTCATTTAGACTCAACATCCCAGTCGAGTTCTGGTATCTTTTTCATCTCGTCAGCCTCTTGATTCTATCAGCCCTTAATAAATGGAGATCCTACACCTATAAGGATGCTACTCACAGCTTTCCATGCCAACTTCCAGGCCCTCATTTCTCTCTCAGTGATTTCCTTCTCTTTAAATCCCTCCTACACAATATCCTGTCTTCTATGATACCCCAACTTTGTGTCCGTCAAAATATCAAGATATGTGGGAAGTAGTCAATGAACTGATGTCAAGGGACTCCTCTACAGTGCCCCATGTCCCGAATTATGCTTGATTTCAGGAGTTCTGTTGTTTATTGATGGCAGACCCCAGGGTCCTAAACAAGACTAATATAATCAATACTGTTCACAACTTTTTAAAAAATATAGATTTTTTAATCCTTCACCCGAGGTATTTTTACCATTGAGTTTCCTAGAAAGTGTAGAAGGGAGAGAGAGGAGGGGAGGGAGGGAAGACAGGAGCAAGGGAGAGAGAAAGAAACATCTATGTGAGATAAACCCATCCATTGGTTGCCTCCCATACCCTCTGGACCAGGGCAGGGATTGAACTTGCAACTGAAGTATGTGCCCTTAACTGGAAATCAAATCCAGAACCCTCTGGTCCATGGGCCAGTACTCTAACCACTGAGCAAAACCAGCCAGGCTAATATGTTTTTACTGATATTAGAAATATCGCTGAGAGAGAAACATCAACATAAATCAGCTGCCACATGAGCACCCCTTATTGGGGATCAAGCCTGCAACTTGTGAATGTGCCCTGACCAGAAACCAAACCAAGGATTTCTTGGTGCAAGGGTAGATGCTCAACCACTGAGCCATACTGGCCTGGCACACAACTTTTTTTTAATTGAGGGTGATCAGAGTGCCAACTATTATCCCAAGCCCTTTATGTACATTAATTTAGTCCTCCCAGACAATAGGGTTAAGGGCTTGGTGCACTATGTCCAGTTAAACAAGTATAAGAGCAATAATCTTGATGCTGATCAGTTAAAAAGGCTGCTACACAAGTGAGAGCAGGCAGCCTCTTCTTAGAGTGGGCAATCAGAGGGCAAAACTTTCTGAAGGAAGAGATGTTTAAGCTAAATGAGCAGGTTAGCTAGGCAGCACAGGAGTGCAGAGGGAGGAAATGGGTATCAGAGGAAGAGACAAACCCTGAGGTCATGCGGAGGGCCTGAAATTTATCTACAAAAGCCTGGCCACCACACCCCAGACTGGGTGACCCGCTGCCCTACTGGCCAGGATGACCTGTCTGTGCCACAGCACCAACCACTATGTGTTCATTCTTTTCTTCCACAAGCCAGCTGCCCAGGCCAACAAGACCAGTGTGTCAGGCACTGTTTCATGTAGGCACCACCTAGAATTAAAATTACTTCAGGGATGCCTGCAGCATAGTTAAAGGAAACACCCCAAAGACCAAAGGAAGCCTGCTTTATTCAATTTACAATGCAGAAAATATTTGTAGTTCCTTACACATTTGCATGGCTATAAAAATTACACTTTATTGTATAATTATTAATGGCTTGAAGAGAAATAAAACAGTATAAACCAAGTATGGCTGATACCATGAAAATGTAAACCATATAAACCAAAATCATAAAACAATTATTCAATACTCAGAGGCCTACTTAATATATACATATGAAATTTCTTTCACAACATACAATGAAAGCCCACAAACAAAAGATCACTTGTAAACTGATCACTGTACAAATATGAAAATAAATCTTTATCTTTAACCTCAATTTTATCTTCAGTGAAAGGGCTGTGAGACTGGAGTTTATGCAAATCACATCATTTTGTATTAAATAATCAAGTGTCACAGATGTCATACAGAGCAGCAAGTGGAAAAAATAAATTATGAAAATGCATGAGGCTAAAAGTGAACAGTAAAAAATGTCTCCTTATCAAACATTCTTTTCTATAATGAAATTAAAATATTATTAGCCCATGAGTCAGAATACATAAAAAAGGAACATAGTATAATAGCGATTTTTAAAACTCTCAAAGGCAAATTCATACAAGATGAGTTACTTGCACAGAACTATGCAAATGTATCTAATTAAGTCAAGTTAAAAAAATGAAATACAGTCTTGTGCCACACGCAAGAACAGACCAAAAATACGACTGTAGTCCCATAAGATCATAAGGGATTATAAGCAAAGAAGTTTGTTTGCAATGTTGAAAGAAAAGGCTGGACCCACTTGGATGTTGATTTTACTGCTAGCTTTGGGTGGTTTAAATAGTGGGGAGGCTCAGCATGCTGTCCGTTTGCCCACACATGCGCGCACAACACACACACACACACACACACACAGCCCACCCCCACCCACACACACACACACACACTCTTGTGCACAAACTCAACTTCCCTCCCATTTCTCTTCTTCTTCCCTCCCAGTCTAATCCAGTTGCACGTCTCCCTACCCGCCACCCCCCTCTCCCCGCCGTGGCATCTCTCTCTCTCTCTCTCTCTCTCTCTCTCTCTCTCTCTCTCTCTCTCCTCTCCCTTTTACTATTTCTCCTCTTAAGCTTTATCTCTGAGGGTCTCTTTCAACCTCTACTCTCCCTTTCTCTTCCCTTCTTTCCTTCCCTCTCTGCCTTCCTAACCTTCCCTCCTTCTAATGTCTATTCTACCTCCACAGCCCTCCCCGACTCAGTTCCCCACTCGTGCACCTGGGCACACACACTTTATCTTTTGTAACATATTTTTACTGTACCTTTTATCTTTAGATGTGTCTAAATACACAAACCCTTATCAAAACATTTATCCGTGTTGGAACGGTTAAATATGACTGATTTGTCTATCAAAGGTGCCTGTGTAATCTAGGCAATTTGGGTGCACTGGCCATGCACTTGAGAATAAAGACCCAGGTAACACTTCTGTATCAAAGGGGTATTCGCATGTACAGACGGTAAGACAAACAGAGAGACACTGTGGTGAAAAATAATGGCCACACGGTAACGTGAACTCTCACAGTTTTGTGCAGCTGCACCAAACACCTAGACGTGAGTTCCACGTGACTGACATACATGTCAGGTCCGTGCTAAACTGGTCTCCACAGACGGCACCCAGGCAGGCAATGCATACCCTTCATCTCACTGTGTCCCCAAAACAAGCACCATTTCTTCCATGTGCAGTTTTACAGTTCCCCACAAGCAAGGCATTTTTTTGGTCAGAAACATAAACTCTTTTTTTTTGGGGGGCGGGGGGACCAACAAAAACATGAAAAAGGAAACAGGAATCCATGGTGGAGTTGCTATAAGGAGACCATCTAACTTTACAGGAAAAAAAACAAGAGGTATCAACAGAGAGGAAGTGTGCTTTCAAAAGCTAAACGATGCTGTAGCCACTTATAATCTGTGTGTGCGACGTACCAGGTCAATTTTCATTCAAATAAATATGAAGGTTGGGGATTTAAGATTTGATCATAAAAATCATAAATAGGACAAAAATAGCTACAATAAATTATTTTAATTCAACAAAAAGGGATGTTTCAGCTTACATATAACAGCTATTATTTAAGTTTTTCAGCAAACTACTTGGGGCCTGGACCTGCATGAACCAAGGTAAGCTCAGATCTCTAGTTGGGAATAACAATTGGTTCAAGCCACTAAAAACCAAAAACCAGGCTTCGCTGACCCACCTCAGAGTCAGGTGTTGACCCCTTTAGCTCTTAGAGACCTTTCACTGGGAAAGTGTGGGAGGTACCGCAGGTTCTAGGAGAGCAAGACCAACCAGCTCTTTGGTGAGGAAGAATCACTAGTCACACTGAACCAAGGATCCCCACTCCTTTCCTAACCACACCTCCCTCTTAGAGAGATGCTTTTCCAAGAACCACGCACAGCACTTTGTCCCTTGCCCATTATTTAAGGAAGTGGATCCTGGCAGGGAGGGAGTAGAGGGATTTGCATTGTATTGGAGATCATGCTTTTAAATCGTGGGATGATTTGAAATAAGCATGCATCTTTTCCCTTGGCAAAATGTTAAATGGTTCTAAGGACTAATGCATTTTTTAATGAGATATAATTCATGTACCATTACATTCACCCTTTGAAAGGAAACAATTCAGTGACTTTTAGTATATTCCAAAAGTTATGCAACCATTAATTCCAAAACATTCTCATCATCCCAGAAAGATGCCACACACCCATTAGCAGTTTCTCACTCTTGGTTCCTTGCTGTCCCCAGCCCTGGCAGCCACACACTGGTGAGCTGTTTGAGTGGCGAGCGACAGCCTTCTTGGCCATTTTACTCTCAGTCGTTATGTACTGGAATTTTTAACATCAAATTTAAACCAAGGACTTTGTAAGTATTCTGAGATTATAAAATACTCTCTTTTATATAGAACTATTTTTGTCACAAAAATGTTTTGTTTTACACATAGAAAAATAGATTTTTCTGTCTCCACCAAAGACTGAAAATTGCCTTTTTCCCTCAATTAAATTCTGCTCTTATTTCAGAAGTGAGAAAAATCAATACTCCAATATTTTAAAAGTACAAACAACCAGAGTCTTTATTAACCATGGGCTATCACACTCTCTTTCTCACTTCTAAAAAAAAGGGGGGGGCTACAGAATGTGAGAGGGCCAAGGCCACGCTGCCTTGTTCTACAGATGAGGACACAGAACTAACATGGGCTAGTGACATGTCCACAACCACAAGCCTAGTTAACAGCAAAGCCAGGACCTTACCCTCTTTATCAGTACTCTAGTATTAAATATCTGAAGGAAATTCTGTCATAGGTTTTGTCAGCTCCTGCATGAATCTAATTATTAGTTTCTTCTACAGCTTTGATCTGAGCAAAAAAACATTTACACATTATCATTTAAAACCCTGTAAGGACAAGACAAGTATATTTAACCAGGGAGCCCAAATTGTTCATGGGAACATAGCGAAGAAGAGCCGAGGTTCTGGAGGGACCCATAGCAAGGTCCAGACCTTCCACATGTAACTCTCCACATGACCGTGTCCATAGGCTGCATCACGCTATGTGAGAAGCAAGTAAGTCACACACATTCTGTACTCCGGAAATGAAGACTTCACAAGGCAAGGGGTTTGGTGTTTAACCCTTGCAACAATTCTTCATGTGGGATGACTGTTTGGAACTGCTCCCACTCAGGTTGGTAATGGACTTGCTGTCATCCTCATCAGTTCTTTTTTTCACTTCCCTGGAGAGAAAGAGAGAGAGAGAGGTAGAGGCAGAGGTAAAAGTAGAGGAGATAGAGGGGGGATTACTGAGACACAAACCTCAACCACAGATGGCTCTGTGGAAATAAAAGCAGCACTGCTGAGCACTGCCATCCAGACACCGGTGTAAATGCTTTCTAGGTGTTGACTTATTTAATCATCACAAGAACCATATGGATTTGCTGTGCCCCTTGTTACATTGGATATATGAGGAGCTCCCTGAGGTCACACAGCAGGAGAGGTGGTTCAGCTGGGATTCACAGCATGCAGGCGGGCTCCAACTCCAGCATTCTGAGCACCAGGCTGCAGACTCACACATGCACACACTCATGCATATATAGGTGCATACACATGTGTACACGCATGCACACTCACACGTGCGTGCACAGACCACACATGTATGCACAGGTGTGTACACACACATGCACAGTCACACATACATGCACAGGTACACACATATGTGTGCACACACAGACTCCTCTCGCTCTCTGCTGTGGTCTCACATGCTTTGGTCTGCCACACGCACAGCCTACTACTTACTACCCTAGACCAGGCTCCCATCTCTGGCTGACACTTGCTGGCATTAACAAGAAGCAATGATGACTTTGTAACCATTCTTTAATTCTACGTGATCATGGAAGTAACAATGGATGGTTAAAATCCAGGAAAAAAATCTGCCTTTTATAGCTTCCTAAATTTCTTTTAGAATTAACAGACAGTGTGGGTGTCCTAGCATCTCAATAGAAAAATTGCGAAATTGCATTTCTAAGAGAAACTTTTCCTGGGATTGAGAGTTTTTCTAAGAACAAGCAAAGTAGATCAGGGTGTCACATTTCTGGCCTCCCTCCCAAAAGGAATCCTTCAGATGGTGCACATCCAGAAACCCATCTCCTTCAATTTCATGACATGATGCGGTGTGGAAGGCACCATACTGGGAGTTATCTTATGAGATGTAAATCGAGGACGTATATGTTTTGCATTTTACACAACACTCTAAAGGCTGTAAAACTTTTTAAATATTCATTTAACCTGGGGAGACTCTACCATTTCCATTTAAGACTTAGGCACTTTGACAAGCAACTCTGAAGATGGAGTATAAAGCCAAGTATAGTCTGTACACATTTTCTTTCTTTATAATGTTCATACTTAACACACTGCTAATAACTAAATTTTAGAGACCTTAAACCAGACCATATGCAATACAAACAATAAGAAACTCAATGATAAGCGATTCACAAGTGCCCTCGTTATTGAAATGCTGTGCACACAGGTGTTTTACATAAACCCTGTGTGGAAGCTACACCATAAACAGCTGCAGAAGCAAATGGGAAGGCCGGTTACAGCCTCTCCCATCTTTATGATATAATAAAGAAAATCGATCCAGCACTCTGGGTGTGACCACGGCAATTTGAAGCAATTTAACTTTAATATGACCCTATGAGACAATTCAGCGGAGTATAGACGGTTGTATATACAATCAGACTGTTGGATCTATATGGGGCCTGGGAGATCATTTCCTTCAGCCCCACCCTCATTTTACAGATTAGAGAAGCCTACAGGACGATGGGGAACTGTTCAAGACTTTACAGTTATTCAGGGGTAGATACAAGGCTCGACTTTGAGCCTCCTGGCACCACAATCCTCCAACATGCTGGGCAGCAGCCCACAGCCATGCACAGGGCCATGCGGCAGGCCCCTTTCCTGCTCAGACAGAGCAGCAATTAAGCACCACACTGCCTAAGGCTACGACAGCACTGAGCCCCTGCCTAGCTTTGGCCCAATCATGCTCTAACGCAGCAGTCGCCAACCTTTTGGACCTCACAGACCACCGGTTGGTGACCGCTGCTCTAAAGACCTGCAGGCCCTTCCTACACCCATCTGCCTCCCTGGGCACACACCATCAACTGCATCCAGGAATTCTTAGGTACATTTTAATAAAACACCAATACAACCATCTGAGAGGAAAAAAGGGGACACCTACCAACTCAACAAGTATTCCATCTTTAGTTCATTTCATTAATTCTTCCCCCTTCCTCATTTACTAACTGTATCCTGTTTGACCAAAATAGCTGTGCACCCAAAGGTGCATGGAATCCATTATTTCACCTAATTTCTGAAGGTTTCATTTTGGCTCTCGACAAATGTGATATTAGCCCATAATTCGCCTACTAAGCAAAGGCAAAAAAAAAATGTAATTCACTTGACTTTATATGTTTAAATATTTGTTTGCCTTTTATTTTCTACCTGTTCTAGGTCGTATTCAAAGTTAGCACTGTTTTTGCTTTAAATAAAAATGATTTCCAGATTTCCAGTGTGGTGGGGCAGGTGGTTCTCTCTCTTGGATTAATGTCAAAGGAGATAATGTTCAAAGACTCAGTTGAAGCTCAGAGGCATCTTTCAGGCCCTGCCACAAACCAATTCTAAGTAGATCATTCAAGGTCCTGGGGGCCTTTTCCTGATTTTCCCAGGCCACCAGGCCAAGCCTTCTATTAATAGAATTCTATTCTAAGAAGCACTATACACAACAAGTCACTAATACAAAAGCAGAATTTAAAACACTGCAAGGTATTTTAAATGCCAATATATACTAGCAGAAGAGGCCAATTATCCTACTAAAGTCAAGATTCTTGTAAAACCTCACAAGTGATCAGTAAAAGCACTATATACCTAAAATTACAGTTTTGCTGTGTCAGCAATTAAAGATCATTGGCCTGGATTTTGTTAACACATACTTTTATTTTTTTCTTTCTTTGTTTTCCTTTTTAATATTTAATCCCTTTAGGCCAGTAAAGAATCATCTTTTCATTTGTGGCAGAAAGCTAGGCAGAAGAGATAAACATAACATACCATGTTGTTATTTCCTAAGAATACTCTAAGGATTAAAACACATTTGTATCCAAGTTCCTCAATAATGAAATATTCTAATCTAAATTCCAAAATGTTATTAACACCATTGCCTTAGCTAAATAATTACCTGTGTAATAAATAAAGTGCTTCCAACTGGCATATACACAATTTGTTTTACTGAGATTTTCTTTCCTTTACCCTGGAAAATGTCATAATACTTATATTCATAATAGTCTATTTTAAACACTATTATATTCATAATAGTGTTTAAAATCTGGTTCCTATAAATAATTTGTACAAGTCAACTATTAGCTTTGTGGTGACATTATGCAAAAACATCAGTGACACCTCAGATGCACCTGCTTTGTTTGGCAGTAAAGGTATGCTTGCCAATGTTTACAGTGATTGTGCAGCATTACCAGTTTTTATAATATCTACATCTAATTGTTTCTCTAACCCCTACTGAAAGACAAGACAGTGTTTTCCAATGTAGAGTCATGTCATGGTCAAGAGGTTTGACATGAGAACCAACTAAATGAAAACTCAAGTCTACATCCAGTTTTCCAAATAAGAGACAAAACTTTACCGGGCAAGGTGGAGAACAGCTTCCACTACATTTGAACCATCTTTGGCACTTGTTTCACAGAATAGTGCCCCGTAGTTCTGTGGAAAAGAAACAGACACTATTAAACAAAGCCTCTGTTTAGGTTTCCTGAAAGTTTTGCTTATAATTAATAAACAAGATAAAAATATTTTCCTGTTGAGTACACTGAGTGAGTAGGAGCTAAACAGTTTGATTCAGAGTTTCAATAATTAAAAAGAAATGACTAGTTTGAACCTCATTATTCTAGAAATAGTTCCTAGACATGGTAGTTTTCAGTTTAAAAAACCACAATACAAAATTTCATGTTTTAAGATACTTATTTCCAATAGTTGCACACATGCTACCCAATGTTCGCCAGCAAATCATTTGAGAGAGATAAAAAATGATCACTTACACTCAGGAATGGAAAGTCCATCAAAAGTATGTCTGCTTTTGGCCAGCAGCTAACGCATGTCCCCTTTCACACTATCCTTTCCTATCAAGATTCAGCAGCCTGCGTGTGGCTAAACCAATGGACACTTCCTAGTCCTCTATTATTCAACCTTCCAGAGGGCACGTGTGTGATCACTGATCCTATCACTCTCCTGCTTCCAACCCCTCAATGCTTCCCTTCCAGTCAACTCATGTTCAAATGCTTTACAACGGCCGACAGGACCTCGCTCCTATGTGGCCTCAGCCAGCCTCCCAGCCTCACCTGCCACCATTCTCTCTCACTCACGATGCTCCAGTTACCCTGGCCTTCCCTCATTTCCCCAATGCTCCAAATGCCCCCCATCTCAGGGCCTTAGCACCTGCCGTTCCCATTGCCTAGGCTACCCCTACACCTACCCACCCTCTTCCCCAGACTGACTCCTACCTACCTTTGATCTTAGGTAATCCTCCCTTGAAGTTAAGATTGTTTCCTAACCCTGAAGGCCCTGTTAGGTCTTCCCGTTATAAAACCTCAGAGCCATCTATATTCTTCCTTCATAGCACTTATCACAATTGTAACTGATAAAGTTACTTGTGTGTGTCTTTATCTAATAAGCTGGAGACAGTTTCCCTTAGGAAAGGAGAATATCATGTGCTTGGGCCTGGGTGTGGGTCACACAGTCCTGTGGAGGGTAAAGGGAGGGTGTGAGGGCTGCTCCGGGGCAGGGAGAGAGAGAAGGCTCAAAGAGTGGGGAACCCCCACTGTGGGACCTTTGCCCACAAGCCCCCAGATCCATAGAAAAATCTATTAAAAAATCACAAAATGAATGGATTCCTAGTAGAAATGGGTAGTGCTGCTGCTGGGTTCTATAGTTATGATGATATGGGGTGAGGCAGAGAATGCTTTTCAGGAAACAGGGGGGTATACGTGACCAGATCATAAGTAAGCAAACCTTGGAAACTGAGAAAGCATGGGGCGGAAATAACACTGGTAAGCAGACAGAAATGATGGGATCTCTAAAGTGGCATGTGAGATCTCTAGAGTCTGACATGGGATTACATGAATTTAATGTCTGTCTCCCCAGACAATAAACTACAGGAGGACAAGGACCATCTTTTTTGTTCTCTGTTCTTTGCTCAGCACACAATGAAATGCTTGCCACATGGTAGACACAATCAAATACGTTTTGAATGAATCGCTTCTGTATTCATTGCCTGGTTTTGATGCTTATCATATTTGGTTCACAGTTCCAAAATTTAAAACAAGCATGACCTCCCAACTCAGAATAGTGAAATTCAAACTTCTTTGTAAAGTGCACATGGATTTGCTACCAAGAAGCCTGTCATGGTGCTGACAACAGACAACGATGATAGCAGTGTCACATGAGACTGCGATGGTTGTGAACTCCGCATCTGATCAAGGAGCATCTGATTCCTTGTAGGGTAGGAGAAGTCATAAGGGGGCCACGAAGCATTCTGACACAGTGATAATAATGGGATGGTAAACACTGCCCACAGTAGTCATTTCGACAGGAATACGCTCCATCCTCTCTCTATACAAATGTAAAACCAAAAATAATTCTAGACTATTCCAACTAAACACAAACCTGACAGGGGGAAACATACACAGCACAAAAGTCTTCCTATTCTCTTCCCACCCGGTGACGCATTGCACCATCTTCTGCCCCTTGGCATAGTAACCCTCTGGAACCAAGCCCATCTTTTCAAAATAGGACAACCGTTCCTTTTCCTTTAGCTGGAGACAAGGACTAGAGAAGGATTCCAAGAACTGGGTGCGAGTGAGGAGGAAGACGTGATCATTCTGGCTCTGCTTTATCAATGATAGGCAGTGGGAGGAAAGGATCGAGTGATCGATTTACATCTATGAGGGATTTAATCCTTGGGGCAATTACGTGAATTCATAATGTGGGGGGACATTGAGAGTTCTTCCTGTATAAGGACAGGAGCCCCACCAAACAGGGTGCAGGCTCATGAAAGAACTGCTTAAGCAAAGGTGGACAAAAGCAAAAAACCCCTTCCAACCCGGACCCGCTCTCACGCTTACCATGGCCAGCTTTTCTCCAAAGTACGCTGGGACGCACTTCTCTCCCTCTGCAGCAGCAGACTCACGAAGATCAGCCTTGTTTCCCACCAACATGATAGGGATACTCTCGGTGGCTGCATCCTACCACAAGGAAAGGGAAAAAAGTGTGTTCACATCAAACACTGGACACATGAGGACAATGACAACAGCCACCGTGTCCAAAAGCCCCCGTGTGCCACATGATGGATCAACACTATCTTTAAACCCCCATATCTCTAAAAAGAGCTAAGCACTTTCCCTCTGCCAGGTGAGGACACTGACATTCAAAGGTTTTAAATAGGAACTTGTAAGGGCCTGGGCCAGCGTCTAAATTGACTGTATCCCCCTTCCTGCTACACAAACCAATATAAACTCAAGAAGCATGACCTCATCATTTCCTACAACTTCCACTCTGCACAACAGTGATTACACGTCAACTTCATTATCCCAGATACAAAACATGTAAGTAAATCCCTCAGCTACTACGGGACCAAAATGGAATTTGAAAGTTCTGCACTCACTGCTCTCTGGTTTACAACGAAAGCAAAGTAAGAAGGTCCTAGAAGTCAACATTTTTCCTATGAGGAGTCAGTTACCACTCTACTCAAAGTAACAGCTTCTCAGGTTACTGCTTCCAAAACAGCCCATGCCAGCTGTCACACTGCCCCACATTCTTGGTGGAGCTGGGGTGGAAGGGCAGATGTGAGAGGCAGAGCTGAGTTTGAGACCCCTCCCCTCCCACCTCCGGGCCACTCACTGGGTGTGTGAAATCAGGCCAGTCTTTTCATGTTTTTGCCTCAATATCCCTATGTGTACAATGAAGAGGTTAATTAAAGGCACATCCCATCTCATGAGCCTATAATGAGAATAAGAGAATATAACCTGCATTGCAGAGGAAAATGGGTTTCTGGTTTCTAAACAGAAGCGGCAGCCCTGGCTAAGGCATTACTCTGCAGTCCCTAAGGACACTCAGGTGCTCATTCCGTTTGGTGCCGTACCCGACACAGGATCAAGAAATAAGCCTTAAACATAATGAAGGTATCTTTGACTTCCCTTCTCTTCACACTCCTTGCCTCTAACTGAAGGCACCACCTGGGTGGGGTAAGGGCAGAGGAGAGAGGGAGTCAAAGGCCCTCTCTAAACCTACTCCACCCATCCACTAGTGCAGTGATGGCGAACCTATGACACGCGTGTCAGAGGTGACACGCAAACTCATTTTTTGGGTTGATTTTTCTTTGTTAAATGGCATTTAAATATATAAAATAAATACTAAAAATATAAGTCTTTGTTTTACTATGGTTACAAATATCAAAAAATTTCTATATGTGACACAGCACCAGAGTTAAGTTAGGGTTTTTTCAAAATGCTGACACACCGAGCTCAAAAGGTTCGCCATCACTGCACTAGTGTGTTAATTAATTGTGTTCTTTGACACTCTTCTAGGGACTAAGGGATGTCATTGGGAAGCCATTAAGCAAATACTCTCTTAAGTTAGCTAAGAATCCAGCGTCTAAATGACTTCCCCAAATCACACAGGTAAATATCTCCTTCAAGTCTTGACTCAAAGAACACCTTCTCGGGAGGCCAGGGCCACACTAATGGAAACTGCATCCCGCTACCTCTTCAGGAGGCCCTTCACCCTGCCTTCTTTTCTACCATAACGTTTATCACTTTCCATCATTCTACTTACTTTATTCACTTATGTTTGTTTCTTGTTATGTCTCTCTTCCTAAAGTACAAGGTCCATAAGGATAGGGCTCTTTATTAACAGATATATCCCAACAGAGGAGGTAACCCCAAAATATTTTTGAATGTGTAAAAGTCAGGATGAAATCTCATGTCTCAACTGTCTCCATTCAACTTTTACCCAAACATTCAATCAATAAATTATTCATGACAGAGAAGTGAAATGGGCATAATTTTATTTTACCCATGATTTTATAACAGTTTGTAACCTAGTGCTTTTCAATTAGTGTATTAATTATTAATTCAGAGGGTCTACTCACCACTGACATTCTACTTCCTCTCAATCCTCTGCTCTATCACACAATTAGTTATTTATACAGTGGCCATATAAATTGTCCCTGCAGAATTTCCTCAAATTGGAAAGGGCGAGCCATGGCTAAGGTTCATCGCGCCCATTATTTTTCTAAGATGAAAGTTAAATGCCAAGTGGACTCCAATTTTTTCTCTATAACAAATTCAATAATTCATCTTGAATACAGTTTTCTTACTCTTCGGACCCTGTGAAAGGTGCTACCAGCAGCTGAAAAGGTCACTTACCCGGTACGGGTTGTTCAGCAAATTAGGGCAGCGGGCTCCTGGCACACACTACAGCTGGTCACTAAGGGCTCCTTCAGGGCTGTGGCTGGCCCTGCCTTTTAACTTCCTTTTCTTGAGCATAATCCAAAGATTTAAAATGAAAACTAGTTCCAACAATTTCAACAAGTTCTGCTATAATTTTAACTACCCATGTGTATAAGTTAGTTAGAGTTTTCCATTATTCTCTGGGCTCACTGCTCTGTCCCAGGGAGGTCCACTTGAGTACATGCCTCTCCTTCATGAGCTGACTACACTCAGATTCCTTTCTAGACTTCAAAAGCTTCTTCTCACCCTGATGCTTTATCAAAGGAGCAACCATATTGAATCAGAAGGTCCCATTCAAGCCCCCATTCCAACCCTACCCACTATATAACTACCAGCCAGTGCCATATACTTCCTATGCCTCAGGTTTCTCATAGTAAGTGCAAATAATACTATGTTTCCTCCTTTCTCAGATATGTTACTGAGATGAATATAACATGGAACATTTTTATGAAATAAAAATATTATATAAATGCCTACACATTTCACTGTATTTAAAATTTTAAGTCATGATATTTCAGTAGGACAATATGCACATTTATTTATCACTAAGTTTTACTGCCAATTACAACGTCACTTCTCATATCACTTTTTTTTGTACAGGGTATGAAATAGGCCCAAATGAAGAATTCAGAAACAAACTGGAGATCACACAAGAATTTCTCTGTTTAGCTACCTCTGCACTTAATGCCTGTTAAAAATTATTGATAATAGATCTACTTGAAAGATTGTATTAGCTATTAGTTTCAGGTATGTTTCTCAAGTAAGTATGCTGAACCAAAGCTTAAACTATTGTTTTATGTTGATTAATAACTATTGGCAGCACTCTAACTATGGCCAAATAATTTCCCACTTTTAAAAATTATTTACCATGAAACCAAAGGAAATGAAAGCTCCTCAGTTCAAAAGAAAGCACAAATAGTACCACACATGTTAAAAATTCCAACTGGTTTTTCAATGGTACCTTGGGATGTGTAAAGACCCAAATCACTACTCGAATAAGGGAGAAAACACAGTTGTGATAGAATGAGGGCCTCGTACCTGCTCAACACACCCGCTGTCTCACCTGTGTGTCAGGTGCACATGGAAGCACCTCTACTCATCCAACCATGCTACACACCCAGATCCTGTACACACCCAGTCATGCTACACACCCAGCCTCTGTACACACCTAACATGCTACCCACCCAGCTCTGTACACATCCAACCATGCTACACACCCAGGCCCTGTACACACCTAACATGCTACCCACCCACCCAGCTCTGTACACATCCAACCATGCTACACACCCAGCCCTGTAATATCCAACCATGCTACAAACCCAGCCCTGTAATATCCAACCATGCTACACACCCACCCCAGCAGCTTCATTTGTAAGAGCTGCTGCTTCCCAGGTGACCTGCATTTCCATTTGCTTCTGATTTTATCTGTAAGAAAACCCAGAAGTGCCCTGGCCGGTTTGGCTCAGTGGACAGAGCGTCGGCCTGCGGACTGAAGGGTCCCAGGTTCGATTCCAGTCAAGGGCATGTACCTTGGTTGCGGGCACATCCCCAGTGGGGGGTGTGCAGGAGGCAGCTGATTGATGTTTCTCTCTCATAGATGTTTCTGGCTCTCTATCCCTCTCCCTTCTTCTCTGTACAAAATCAATAAAATATGTATTTTTTTTAAAGAAAATCCAGAAGTTTTATTCCCAGAAGCTCCTTTAGTTGTGTCCTTGGCCTTGCAGGAACTTGCCCAGCTACTGAGAGAGAGCAATCCTGCCGAGTGCCCCTAGGAACTCTGCCTCCAACATCCCCTTCTGTCACAGCTTGGATCAATGGGTCCTCATCACATTCCTTTCAACGAGGAAGAGAACCAGCATTTTCCAGCATGGCCTATAGCTCCCCAGGCAATTTCCTGGCTCTCTGCTTTGATTTCTTACCTCAATCATATCCACCCATTCTCGTACGTTAAGAAAGCTTTTCTCACACGTGACATCATACAACAGCAAGACTCCATCTGCTCTTCTGAAGTAGGACTTGGCAATACTTCTGAATCTGGGTAAGAGAGAAGCACTTACAGCACGGATCTAATCAGTCTGTTTGCTGCTGCTCCATTCTTCATCGCTTCTGTGCTCACTCACCTTTTTCTCATCTTCTCTAATAAGCCCCAAGTGAAAAAAATTAAGGGCAATGTATCACTGTAAAAGTCATCTCTGAGGCCCAGACTGACCCAGTGACAGATAACAGGATGAGAATCTGGGCTACTGATTTTAAAAAGCCAATCATTTGTTCCACCAAACAACCCCAAGAATGTCACAAACCCCAAAACATAACCAGGACAAGGATGACACTGTAATTTCTGAAAGTTCCAGCCTCAGCTAAAACCTACCAAAACCCATGAGTAGGACACAGAGAAGGGTGGAAGGAGACACACATTAGAGAAAATGGTCTTCCAGGCTTGAGGAGGGTGGAAGAACTATGTGGATGCCACCATGCACCAGGCACATTACATACATGGAGGTGAGGGACTCACTAAGGTAAGAGCATACTGCAACCTACATGTCTTTCTCTAAACCAAGTGCAATATTTTATATTGTCTTAGTTAGGGCCATGTCAACCACAAGTATTTTTTAAACGTTGGAATGCTCATTCGGCTGCAGAACAGGAGTTCCACGTGGGCAGGTATTTGTGTCCTATTGCGAAGATTCACTAATGAATCTTAGCAGCCTAAATGGTGCCTGGTGCAGAGGTAGGTAGGCACCCCATACTTACTTGTTGAACAGCTGGATAGATTCTGCTCCCAAAGAGTTAGACAATACTAAAACCGACAGGAAATCCTTCTGGTCAAGGGCAATAAATGCAAGATGAGGTACCATCACCAGGTGCGACTCTGCTATTTAGTTTGTGCCTCTGCCCTGGAACCAAGGGAAGCTGTCTTCTATTGTGCCCCACTGAGCAACTCCTCATGCTGTCACTGCATTCAGAGGTGTCACCTCACTAAATTCTCTTGTTAGGAACAGGCCCTCTCTTTTCCCAACTGAACACAAGCTTCGTAGAAGTGTAAAATCCTTTTTCTCACACAGCTGATGGATGAGTGAAAGAGGTAAGAAAGTGAGCATTCTTGAAATTCTAAGGTACCATCTAACTGTACGGTACCTTATAATTACATAGTGATAAGCACAGAAAACACGGAGTGGGCTGCGAGGCTTGTCTGTGTAAGCCTAAGCAGGGCCCAAGCTCTCCGGAAAGCACTTGCCTCTCCTGACCGGCCGTGTCCCAGAGCTGCAGGACTGTGCGCTCTCCATCCACAATGAGGGTCTTCATCTGAAAGTCAACTCCTGCAAAGGAATAGAAGACAACACGGAGAACAGGATGTAAATCATTCCACTAGTTTTTACTTTCAAGTTCTCTTTAGATGAGACAGGAGTCAATAAAGCAAAGAGCCCAGGGAGACAGAGAGAAATGAGCATGGCCTTCATCGAGAGTGACTTCACATACTAATTATCAGTCAGACCCCACAGCTGCACGGGATGCACTATCTGCAGGCTGGCTGACTTGGGGAAGAATCTAGTCTATGGACAAAGGGAAAAAAACCTACGTTCTATCTGCCATGTAATTCGGGAACTGTTATATCTGTGTGCGCATGTACATAAATATGTGGAGGTGTATATATGTATATGTGTATATGATTATGTACATATGCCATATATACATATATAGCAACGGAACCGCATACTGGAGTCTTTTTATGAATCAAATTGAAGTGAACCTTTGGCTTTGTTATTTTGAGTGGTCTAAATAAAGAACCATAAATTTACAAAGATGCCCACTGTGAAGAGGGTAACCAATCTTTTCTAACTTTTCTGGTTATACAAATAAGAAAATTTTAGATACACAAGGAAAATAAATGATAATTTGGATATCTTCAACTCCTTCTACTGGTTATTATGCAAATTTGGGAAATTAGGCATAATTTCTGCCTTCTTCTGAGAGGTAATACATTCCATTGTTAAGGAGGGAGGTAGCAAACTTCTATGATTTTGACTACAGTGACAAACAAGTCATCAATAATGTCCCTTTACCAATGTCAAACGACATCTTATGAGAAAAGCTTTCCCTGGCCACCCTGCGTAAAAGTACACCTCTCCCTAAACCTCTTTTTTTTTAATTATTATTTGTTTTTCATCCATTTCCCTCCTTTGAGATGTAAACTCCTTGTGGGCTGGGATGTAGTCAACTCTGTTCATTGTGTATCCTTAGCACAGGGGTCCTCAAACTATGGCCCGCGGGCCACATGCAAATACAAATATTGTATTTGTTCCCGTT